TTTTTTTAGATTGTTGTTTGGAGACATCAATATTCATAACATGTATGTTTCTATCACAAGGAAATAAAGAATTTTCTGTCTTCATGAACCTTTCCTGGTTACTTATTAATGCATTTTCCCACTGGTAACATAATACTTTCAGAACTTGATATCCCTCACCATTGTCTAAATTTCGTTTAAAAATAGACGATATCAGTCTGGTAGGCCTACACTGCAGGCAAGAGTCAGGACTAACATTTAGCATGTTATTAATTTTATTACCACTCTCATATATTCTCTGAAATGTTATCTTTATTGAGGGTGACTTGAAAAAGCTAATAACTTGGAAGGGATATAGGCAGGCGCATTGCCAGGTGTGGCGGTGGGAGCGGTCGCCCCCAAAAAACGCCGGCCAAAAAGAAAGAAAAAAGAGAAAGAAGAAAGAAAGAAAGAGGATGTAGGAAAAAAGGGATTAATTGAGTCAAGAACGGTACAACGAATCGTCTTCTTTCTCTAATAAGATAATGAAACGTAAAAGCTTAGCGCGGGAGAGGGGAAACTGTATTCAGACAAGGATTTAGAGTCGAGAACGGTACAACAAATCGTCTTCTTTCTCTATTAATTCAATAAAACGTCAAAGCTTCCGCGCTACGCGCGGAGGAAGGGGAACTTGATTCAAACAAGGATTTACTCATAGCCTGCCATGAGACTGCATGCACGCTATTGTTTCTCTTTTTCTTGCATACGAGCACGCATTCGTAATAGCAGTTATTGTACATGCCCATGGGACTGTGCCTAGTGTTTTGCTCGCGCTATTGTTAGTACCACCGCATTAATCAGATTATCTCGTTATAAATCTGGCACTGGGGGATTAGCCCTGTGGCAGGATAAGAGTTAAGAGTCGAGAATGGTACATCGAATCGTCTTCTATAATAATCTAATGAAACGTCAGAACTTCCGCACTACGCGCGGAAGAAGGGGAACTTGATTCAAGCAAGGATTGAGAGTCGAGAATGGTACATCGAATCATCTTTTTTCTTCAATAATTTGCAACGTCAAAGCTTCAGCGATTCGCCTGGGAGGGGGAAACTTCTGACCGCCCCCCCCCCCCTAAATTGAAATGCTGGTTACGCGCTTGTGGAGGGGGTGCAACCTGCCACACGCTTCTACCTCTTGGTTGCTATGATCCATTGCCGAAAATATTTTGGCACCTATCACCCCCCCCCCCCACCCCCCACAACCACGGATACAAATCGACACCCTTGTGCATGTCCATCGAATTGTGATTAATAGCAAGGGGAGTTTTTGTAAAATGTGATGTCTCGATTAACATAAATATTACATTCTTTATTATTTAAACTGTAATTGAGCTTTTAGCTTGCAGTTCTAAAACAAGAAACAAATAAAGGGGTGTGGCAGGTGCTGCATTTACTGAACATCCCGGTCATAACGGGTCGATTAATTAAAACAAACAATCAGTCACATTATCGTTATAACACATTCAAATAAATTTTTTATATTAACTGTCATGTTTAAAATTGCCCCAATGAAATAGTGGTATAAAGTAATTGACAGTTTTATATTCATCACTCAATTCAACGGTGTAACCAATATCTTCTATTCCCTGTATTACATTAAAAAACCTTAATCACCTTTGAGGATGAGGCCTGACGAGCAAGTTCATGGTAGAAATCATCAAGAAGGGAAAGATGCTTGTTATATCCATCAGTGTCCTTTATCATCAAGTCGATGAGACAAGGCAGGAAACCTAGAAACCTGGCTAGGTCACGTGATGCTGTTGGATCATTCTCACGAAGATCACAACCCTGAATACACATCTTCTCTATCTGTTGAGATGACATTTATGACCAAAAAAATGAGAAGAAAAAGATAGAGATCTATCAATTTAAACGATAGGGAATAAATGAAATACCTTTTTCATTTTCACGATCGTAAGTGTATCAATTTCATTGTAGGTTAAGATGCTATTGAATTAGGAAATAATAATGATGTAATAATTACTGCATGTCCATCGAATTATGATCAATAGCAAGTGCATTTTTTGTAAAATGTGATGTCTCGATTAACATAATTATTACATTCTTAATTATTTAAACTGTAATTGAGCTTTTAGCTTGCAGTTCTAAAACAAGAAACATATTAAGGGGTGTGGCAGGAGCTGCAATTACTGCACATTCCGGTCATTAAGGATCGATTAATAAAACCAAACAATCAGTCACATTATCGTTATAATATATTCAAATAACTTTTGTATATTAACTGTCATGTTTAAAATTGCCCCAATGAAATAGTTTTACAAAGTAATTGACAGTTTCATCTTTCAGTGTAACGGTGTAACAAATGTCTTCTTTTCCGTGTGTTAAATTAACACACCTTGTAAATCACCTTTGAGGATGAGGCCTGACGAGCAAGTTCATGGTAGAAATCATCAAGAAGGAAAAGATTCCTGTATTGACCGTCAGAGTCCTTTATCGTCAGGTCGGTGAGACAAGGCAGGAAACATAGAAACCTGGCTAGGTCACGTGATGATGTTGGGTCATTCTCACGTAGATGACAACCCTCAATACACACTTTCCCTATCTGTTGAGATGCCATTCATGTCCCAAATAAAAGAAAAAACAAAATTAGAGATCTATCAATTTAAACGATAGGGAATAAATGTTATACTTTTATCATTTTCACGATCGTAAGTGCACCAATTTCATTGTTGGTTAAGATGCTATTGAATTAGGAAATAATAATGATATCATAATTACTGCATGTCCATGGGTGTCGATCCCGGGGGATGGGGGGGATATATCCCCCCAATATTTCAGGTGGGGGGCCTGTACAATCATCCCCCCACAATAATTCGCCATCAAAAAAAAAAAAGAAGAGAAAAATTAATGATGAGAGCCCGATGAGAATAGTTAATGGTTATTACTCGCAAGATGACCATCAATATACACATTTTGCTATCTCATTTTTATAATACATACATATATCAATAGATACCGAAGTTAATGAGACAACCGTATATGAGAAAGATTATTATGTCACAAATTATTTTTGTTTTATTGAAAAGCTGATGTAGGCCTCTGTATTATATTCAAACGTAACAGGCATAAGATAGTTAAGGTTTTTCTGAAGGTTAGAATGTTATTAAGTTTGAAGTTTTGTTTATAACACCCTTCCAATAATAATAATCAGAAGCGGATCTAGAGGGGGGTTGGGGGTTGCAACCCCCCCCCCCCTTGGGCGGCCCCCAAACAAAAAAAAAAGAAAAAAGAAAAAAAAAGAAAGAAAAAAAAGAAAAAAAGAAAGAAAAAAGAACGCACGCTGGAGAGAAACCCTTTCAAGTGCAAATATTGTGAGAAGATATTCAACTCATCTGGTAACTTAACCAAACACATGATAACTCTGGATATAACTATGTATTAAACTGTTACTTGATTTAAAAAGACGTTATCATGCACTGCTTTTTATGGTCTCCATTGTGTTAATAGATGCCAGGAAAACATCACTTACGGGGTTCAAATAAACACCCCCCAAAAAATCGGTTCGCCGCTTCGCGGCTAGTGGACGATGCTCCGCATCGTCATTATTTTGGTCAAACCCACCCCTTAGCAAAAAGCTAGATCCGCCCCTGATAATGCACCTTCTAAGAATGCCTCATCACTAAGATTATTTTGAGAATTTTGCTTTTGAGAGCAAGAAGTAGAATAAGTTATAGTTTTTGAGAAAAAGAATAGTGCTCTGCATGGTCAGGGCCTTAGGGCAATATTATGCTTATATTTTAGAGCGTATCTGGTATGATAAGTATATCTGGGTGAAGAAGGAGATAATGGAAGTTTGTTGTTTGATAGTTGGAACGTAAGTTTTATATTATGTTTTTAAGAAACAGACAGTTTGTATGAGGAGTGGACATTTTCTGTCATTTTGAGAACCAAATTTTGCATCAGTGATATTCTGTTTCATTGAATTGAGTTTCTCGCAGAGACGATTCAGTTGTTCAATTAAAGCTTATCTGCCATAATTTACAGGAGGGATTAGACCGCCCTTCAAGGTCACTGGACAGGTGGTTATCTCATCAACTCAGCTCTCAGTTAACGTAAGAAAAAGAGGATCATGGGGGACCAATGGTCACCGATTAAGCATTGTTTGTTGTATAGAGGGCGCAAGTAGCTACAAGTAGTGTAGTGGGCCTTTAAAGAAGGAAGAGAGTCAAATGAAGAACCAAAAGCAATATGTTTTTTATTTACTAATGAGAACTATTTTTTTTTTTAGATTGTTGTTTGGAGACATCAATATTCATAACATATATATTTCTATCACCAGGAAATAAAGAATTTTCTGTCTTCATGAACCTTTCCTGGTTACTTATTAATGCATTTGCCCACTGCTAACATAATACTTTCAGAACTTGATATCCCTCACCACTGTCTAAATTTCGTTTAAAAATAGATGATATCAGTCTGGTAGGCCTACACTGCAGGCAAGAGTCAGGACTAACATTTAGCATGCTATTAATTTTATTACCACTCTCATATATTCTCTGAAATGTTATCTTTATTGAGGGTGACTTAAAAAAGTTAATAACTTGGAAGGGATGGGCAGGCGCATTGCCAGGTGTGGCGGTGGGAGCGGTCGCCCCCAAAAAACGCCGGCCAAAAAGAAAAAAAAAAAGAAAAAAAGAAAAGAAAGAGGATGTATTCAGACGAGGATTTAGAGTCGAGAATGGTACAACGAATCGTCTTCTTTGTCTATTAATTTAATAAAACGTCAAAGCTTTCGCGCTATGCGCGGAGGAAGGGGAACTTGATTCAGACAAGGATTTACTCATAGCCTGCCATGAGGCTGCATGCACGCTTTTGAAACTCTGCTTCTTGCATGCTAGCACGCATTTGTAATAGCAGTTATTGTTCATGCCCATTGGACTGTACCTAGTCTTTTGCACGCGCTATTGTTAGTACCATCGCGTTAATCAGATTATTCTCGTTATAAATCTGGCACTGGGGGGATTAGCCCTGTGGCAGGATAAGAGTTAAGAGTCGAGAATGGTACATCGAATCGTCTTCTTTCTATAATAATCTAATGAAATGTCAGAGCTTCCGCGCTACGCCCGGAGGTAGGGGAACTTGATTCAAGCAAGGATTGAGAGTCGAGAATGGTACATCGAATCATCTTCTTTCTTCAATAATTTGAAACGTCAAAGCTTCAGCGATTCGCCGGGGAGGGGGAAACTTCTGACCGCCCCACCCCTAAAATGAACTGCTAGTTACGCGCTTGTGGAAGGGGTGCAACCTGCCACACGCTTCTACCTCTTGGTTGCTATGATCCATTGCCGAAAATATTTTGGCACCTATCACCCCCCCCCCCCCCCCCCCACCCCTCCCCCCCCCAACCACGGATACAAATCGACACACTTGTGCATGTCCATCGAATTGCGATTAATAGCAAGGGGATTTTTTTGTAAAATGTGATGTCTCGATTAACATAAATATTACATTCATTATTATATGAACTGTAATTGAGCTTTTAGCTTGCAGTTCTAAAACAAGAAACATATTAAGGGGTTTGGCAGAAGCTGCATTTACTGCACATCCCGGTCATAAAGGGTCGATTAATAAAACCAAACAATCAGTCACATTATCGTTATAACACATTCAAAGAACTTTTTTTATACTAACTGTCATGTTTAACATTGCCCCAATGAAATAGTTGTACAAAGTAATTGACAGTTTCATCTTTCATCTTTCAGTGCAACGGTGTAACAAATGTCTTCTTTTCCGTGTGTTAAATTAAAAAATCTTGTAAATCACCTTTGAGGATGAGGCCTGACGAGCAAGTTCATGGTAGAAATCATCAAGAAGGGAAAGATTCCTGTATTGACCGTCAGAGTTCTTTATCGTCAGGTCGGTGAGACAAGGCAGGAAACCTAGAAACCTGGCTAGGTCACGTGATGCTGTTGGATCATTCTCACGTAGATAACAACCCTGAATACACATCTTCTCTATCTGTTGAGATGACATTTGTAAAAAAAAAAAATGAGAAGAAAAAAATAGAGATCTATCAATTTAAACAATAGGGAATAAATGTTATACTTTGATCATTTTCACGATCGTAAGTGTATCAATTTCATTGTAGGTTAAGATGCTATTAAATTAGGAAATAATAATAATGTAATAATTACTGCATGTCCATCAAATTATGATCAATAGCAAGCGCATTTTTTGTAAAATGTGATGTCTCGATTAACATAATTATTACATTCTTAATTATTTAAACTGTAATTGAGCTTTTAGCTTGCAGTTCTAAAGCTAGAAACATATAAAGGGATGTTGTAAGAGCTGCATTTACTGAACATCCCGGTCACAACGGGTCGATTAATAAAACCAAACAATCAGTCACATTATCGTTATAACACATTCAAATAACTTTTGTATATTAACTGTCATGTTTAAATTTGCCCCAATAAAATAGTGGTACAAAGTAATTGACAGTTTCATCTTTCATCTTTCAGTGCAACGGTGTAACGAATGTCTTCTTTTATGTGTGTTACATTAAAACACCTTGTAAATCACCTTTGAAGATGAGGACTTGTCAGCAAGTTCATGGTAGAAATCATCAGGAAGGAAAAGTTTCATGTCTTTTATCGTCAGGTCGGTAAGACAAGGCAGGAAACATAGAAACCTGGCTAGGTCACGTGATGATGGTGGGTCATTCTCACGTAGAGACCAACCCTCAATACACACTTTCCGTATCTGTTGAGATGCCATTCGTGTCCCAAATAAAAGAACAAACAAAATTAGAGATCTATCAATTTAAACGATAGGGAATAAATTATATACTTTTATCATTTTCACGATCGTAAGTGTATCAATTTCATTATAGGTTAAGATGGTATTGAATTAGAAAATAATAATGATATAATAATTACTGCATGTCCATCGAATTATGATCAATAGCAAGCGCATTTTTTGTAAAATGTAATGTCTAGATTAACATAAATATAACATTCTTAATTATTTAAACTGTAATTGAGCTTTTAGCTTGCAGTTCTAAAGCTAGAAACATATTAAGGGGTGTGGCAGGAGCTGCATTTGCTGAACATCCTTGTCATAACGGGTCGATTAATAAAAACCAAACAATCAGTCACATTATCGTTATAACACATTCAAATAACTTTTGTATATTCACTCTCATTTTTAAAATTGCCCCAATGAAATAGTGGTACAAAGTAATTGACAGTTTCATCTTTCAGTGCAACGGTGTAACAAATGTCTACTTTTCCGTGTGTTAAATTAAAACACCTTGTAAATCACCTTTGAGGATGAGGCCTGACGAGCAAGTTCATGGTAGAAATCTTCAAGAAGGTAAAGATTCACGTATTCATCGCCATTGTTCTTTATCGTCATGTCGGTGAGACAAGGCAGGAAACATAGAAACCTGGCTAGGTCACGTGATGCTGTTGGGTCATTTTTACGTAGATCACAACCCTCAATACACACTTTCCCTATCTGTTGAAATGCCATTCATGACCCAAATGAAAGAACAAACAAAAATAGAGATCTATCAATTTAAACGATAGGGAATAAATGATATACTTTTATCATTTTCACGATCGTAAGTGCATCAATTTCATTATAGGTTAAGATGGTATTGAATTAGAAAATAATAATAATGTAATAATTACTGCATATCCATCGAATTATGATCATTAGCAAGCGCATTTTTTGTAAAATGTGATGTCTCGATTAACATAAATATAACATTCTTAATTATTTAAACTGTAATTGAGCTTTTAGCTTGCAGTTCTAAAGCTAGAAACATATTAAGGGGTGTGGCAGGAGCTGCATTTGCTGAACATCCTTGTCATAACGGGTCGATTAATAAAAACCAAACAATCAGTCACATTATCGTTATAACACATTCAAATAACTTTTGTATATTCACTCTCATTTTTAAAATTGCCCCAATGAAATAGTGGTACAAAGTAATTGACAGTTTCATCTTTCAGTGCAACGGTGTAACAAATGTCTACTTTTCCGTGTGTTAAATTAAAACACCTTGTAAATCACCTTTGAGGATGAGGCCTGACGAGCAAGTTCATGGTAGAAATCTTCAAGAAGGTAAAGATTCACGTATTCATCGCCATTGTTCTTTATCGTCAGGTCGGTGAGACAAGGCAGGAAACATAGAAACCTGGCTAGGTCACGTGATGCTGTTGGGTCATTTTCACGTAGATCACAACCCTCAATACACACTTTCCCTATCTGTTGAAATGCCATTCATGACCCAAATGAAAGAACAAACAAAAATAGAGATCTATCAATTTAAACGATAGGGAATAAATGATATACTTTTATCATTTTCACGATCGTAAGTGCATCAATTTCATTATAGGTTAAGATGGTATTGAATTAGAAAATAATAATAATGTAATAATTACTGCATGTCCATCGAATTATGATCATTAGCAAGCGCATTTTTTGTAAAATGTGATGTCTCGATTAACATAAATATTACATTCTTTATTATTTCAACTGTAATTGAGTTCTTAGTTTGTAGTTCTAAAGCTAGAAACATATTAAGGGGTGTGGCAGGAGCTGCATTTACTTAACATCCCGGTCATAACGGGTCGATTAATAAAACCAAACAATCAGTCACATCATCGTTATAACACATTCAAATAACTTGTTTATATTAACTGTCATATTTAAAATTGCCCCAATGAAATAGTTGTACAAAGTAATTGACAGTTTCATCTTTCAGTGCAACGGTGTAACGAATGTCTTCTTTTCCGTGTGTTAAATTAAAAAGTCTTGTAAATCACCTTTGAGGATGAGGCCTGACGAGCAAGTTCATGGTAGAAATCATCAAGAAGGGAAAGATTCCTGTATTGACCGTCAGAGTTCTTTATCGTCAGGTCGGTGAGACAAGGCAGGAAACCTAGAAACCTGGCTAGGTCACGTGATGCTGTTGGATCATTCTCACGTAGATAACAACCCTGAATACACATCTTCTCTATCTGTTGAGATGACATTTGTAAAAAAAAAAAAATGAGAAGAAAAAAAATAGAGATCTATCAATTTAAACGATAGGGAATAAATGTTATACTTTTATCATTTTCACGATCGTAAGTGTATCAATTTCATTGTAGATTAAGATGCTATTGAATTAGGAAATAATAATGATGTAAAAATTACTGCATGTCTATCAAATTATGATCGATAGCAAGCGCATTTTTTGTAAAATGTAGTGTCTCGATTAACATAAATATTACATTCTTAATTAATTAAACTGTAATTGAGCTTTTAGCTTGTAGTTCTAAAACAAGAAACATATTAAGGGGTGTGGCAGAAGCTGCAATTACTGCACATCCCGGTCATAAAGGGTCGATTAATAAAACCAAACAATCAGTCACATTTTTGTTATAACACATTCAAATAACTTTTGTATATTCACTCTCATTTTTAAAATTGCCCCAATGAAATAGTGGTACAAAGTAATTGACAGTTTCATCTTTCAGTGCAACGGTGTAACAAATGTCTACTTTTCCGTGTGTTAAATTAAAACACCTTGTAAATCACCTTTGAGGATGAGGCCTGACGAGCAAGTTCATGGTAGAAATCTTCAAGAAGGTAAAGATTCACGTATTCATCGCCATTGTTCTTTATCGTCATGTCGGTGAGACAAGGCAGGAAACATAGAAACCTGGCTAGGTCACGTGATGCTGTTGGGTCATTTTTACGTAGATCACAACCCTCAATACACACTTTCCCTATCTGTTGAAATGCCATTCATGACCCAAATGAAAGAACAAACAAAAATAGAGATCTATCAATTTAAACGATAGGGAATAAATGATATACTTTTATCATTTTCACGATCGTAAGTGCATCAATTTCATTATAGGTTAAGATGGTATTGAATTAGAAAATAATAATAATGTAATAATTACTGCATATCCATCGAATTATGATCATTAGCAAGCGCATTTTTTGTAAAATGTGATGTCTCGATTAACATAAATATAACATTCTTAATTATTTAAACTGTAATTGAGCTTTTAGCTTGCAGTTCTAAAGCTAGAAACATATTAAGGGGTGTGGCAGGAGCTGCATTTGCTGAACATCCTTGTCATAACGGGTCGATTAATAAAAACCAAACAATCAGTCACATTATCGTTATAACACATTCAAATAACTTTTGTATATTCACTCTCATTTTTAAAATTGCCCCAATGAAATAGTGGTACAAAGTAATTGACAGTTTCATCTTTCAGTGCAACGGTGTAACAAATGTCTACTTTTCCGTGTGTTAAATTAAAACACCTTGTAAATCACCTTTGAGGATGAGGCCTGACGAGCAAGTTCATGGTAGAAATCTTCAAGAAGGTAAAGATTCACGTATTCATCGCCATTGTTCTTTATCGTCAGGTCGGTGAGACAAGGCAGGAAACATAGAAACCTGGCTAGGTCACGTGATGCTGTTGGGTCATTTTCACGTAGATCACAACCCTCAATACACACTTTCCCTATCTGTTGAAATGCCATTCATGACCCAAATGAAAGAACAAACAAAAATAGAGATCTATCAATTTAAACGATAGGGAATAAATGATATACTTTTATCATTTTCACGATCGTAAGTGCATCAATTTCATTATAGGTTAAGATGGTATTGAATTAGAAAATAATAATAATGTAATAATTACTGCATGTCCATCGAATTATGATCATTAGCAAGCGCATTTTTTGTAAAATGTGATGTCTCGATTAACATAAATATTACATTCTTTATTATTTCAACTGTAATTGAGTTCTTAGTTTGTAGTTCTAAAGCTAGAAACATATTAAGGGGTGTGGCAGGAGCTGCATTTACTTAACATCCCGGTCATAACGGGTCGATTAATAAAACCAAACAATCAGTCACATCATCGTTATAACACATTCAAATAACTTTTTTATATTAACTGTCATATTTAAAATTGCCCCAATGAAATAGTTGTACAAAGTAATTGACAGTTTCATCTTTCAGTGCAACGGTGTAACGAATGTCTTCTTTTCCGTGTGTTAAATTAAAAAGTCTTGTAAATCACCTTTGAGGATGAGGCCTGACGAGCAAGTTCATGGTAGAAATCATCAAGAAGGGAAAGATTCCTGTATTGACCGTCAGAGTTCTTTATCGTCAGGTCGGTGAGACAAGGCAGGAAACCTAGAAACCTGGCTAGGTCACGTGATGCTGTTGGATCATTCTCACGTAGATAACAACCCTGAATACACATCTTCTCTATCTGTTGAGATGACATTTGTAAAAAAAAAAATGAGAAGAAAAAAATAGAGATCTATCAATTTAAACAATAGGGAATAAATGTTATACTTTGATCATTTTCACGATCGTAAGTGTATCAATTTCATTGTAGATTAAGATGCTATTGAATTAGGAAATAATAATGATGTAAAAATTACTGCATGTCTATCAAATTATGATCGATAGCAAGCGCATTTTTTGTAAAATGTGGTGTCTCGATTAACATAAATATTACATTCTTAATTAATTAAACTGTAATTGAGCTTTTAGCTTGTAGTTCTAAAACAAGAAACATATTAAGGGGTGTGGCAGAAGCTGCAATTACTGCACATCCCGGTCATAAAGGGTCGATTAATAAAACCAAACAATCAGTCACATTATCGTTATAACACATTCAAATAACTTTTGTATATTCACTCTCATTTTTAAAATTGCCCCAATGAAATAGTGGTACAAAGTAATTGACAGTTTCATCTTTCAGTGCAACGGTGTAACAAATGTCTACTTTTCCGTGTGTTACATTAAAACACCTTGTAAATCACCTTTGAGGATGAGGCCTGACGAGCAAGTTCATGGTAGAAATCTTCAAGAAGGTAAAGATTCACGTATTCATCGCCATTGTTCTTTATCGTCATGTCGGTGAGACAAGGCAGGAAACATAGAAACCTGGCTAGGTCACGTGATGCTGTTGGGTCATTTTTACGTAGATCACAACCCTCAATACACACTTTCCCTATCTGTTGAAATGCCATTCATGACCCAAATGAAAGAACAAACAAAAATAGAGATCTATCAATTTAAACGATAGGGAATAAATGATATACTTTTATCATTTTCACGATCGTAAGTGTATCAATTTCATTGTAGATTAAGATGCTATTGAATTAGGAAATAATAATGATGTAAAAATTACTGCATGTCTATCAAATTATGATCGATAGCAAGCGCATTTTTTGTAAAATGTGGTGTCTCGATTAACATAAATATTACATTCTTAATTAATTAAACTGTAATTGAGCTTTTAGCTTGTAGTTCTAAAACAAGAAACATATTAAGGGGTGTGGCAGAAGCTGCAATTACTGCACATCCCGGTCATAAAGGGTCGATTAATAAAACCAAACAATCAGTCACATTATCGTTATAACACATTCAAATAACTTTTGTATATTAACTGTCATGTTTAAATTTGCCCCAATAAAAAAGTGGTACAAAGTAATTGACAGTTTCATCTTTCATCTTTCAGTGCAATGGTGTAACAAATGTCTTCTTTAATGTGTGTTACATTAAAACACCTTGTAAATCACCTTTGAAGATGAGGATTTGTCAGCAAGTTCATGGTAGAAATCATCAGGAAGGAAAAGTTTCATGTCTTTTATCGTCAGGTCGGTTAGACAAGGCAGGAAACATAGAAACCTGGCTAGGTCACGTGATGATGTTGGGTCATTCTCACGTAGAGACCAACCCTCAATACACACTTTCCCTATCTGTTGAGATGCCATTCATGACCCAAATAAAAGAACAAACAAAATTAGAGATCTATCAATTTAAACGATAGGGAATAAATGTTATACTTTTATCATTTTCACGATCTTAAGTGTATCAATTTCATTGTAGATTAAGATGCTATTGAATTAGGAAATAACAATGATGTCATATTTTTGCATGTCCATCGAATTGCGATTAATAGCAAGGGGATTTTTTTGTAAAATGTGATGTCTCGATTAACATAAATATTACATTCTTTATTATTTCAACTGTAATTGAGTTCTTAGCTTGTAGTTCTAAAGCTAGAAACATATTAAGGGGTGTGGCAGGAGCTGCATTTACTTAACATCCCGGTCATAACGGGTCGATTAATAAAACCAAACAATCAGTCACATTATCGTTATAACACATTCAAATAATTTTTTCATATTAACTGTCATATTTAAAATTGCCCCAATGAAATATTTGTACAAAGTAATTGACAGTTTCATCTTTCAGTGCAACGGTGTAACACATGTCTTCTTTTCCGTGTGTTAAATTAAAACATCTTGTAAATCACCTTTGAGGATGAGGCCTGACGAGCAAGTTCATGGTAGAAATCATCAAGAAGTAAAAGATTCCTGTATTGACCGTCAGAGTTCTCTATCGTCAGGTCGGTGAGACAAGGCAGGAAACATAGAAACCTGGCTAGGTCACGTGATGCTGTTGGATCATTCTCACGTAGATAACAACCCTGAATACACATCTTCTCTATCTGTTGAGATGACATTTATAAAAAAAAAAAATGAGAAGAAAAAAAAATAGAGATCTATCAATTTAAACGATAGGGAATAAATGTTATACTTTTATCATTTTCACGATCGTAAGTGTATCAATTTCATTGTAGATCGGATTAAAATGCTATTGAATTAGGAAATAATACTGATGTAAAAATTACTGCATGTCTATCAAATTATGATCGATAGCAAGCACATTTTTGTAATATGTGGTGTCTCGATTAACATAAATATTACATTCTTAATTAATGAAACTGTAATTGAGCTTTTAGCTTGTAGTTCTAAAACAAGAAACATATTAAGGGGTGTGGCAGGAGCTGCAATTACTTAACATCCCGGTCATAACGGGTCGATTAATAAAACCAAACAATCAGTCACATTATCGTTATAACACATTCAAATAACTTTTTTTATATTAACTGTCATGTTTAAAATTGCCCCAAAGAAATAGTGGTATAAAGTGATTGACAGTCTTATATTCATCACTCAATACAACGGTGTAACCAATATCTTTTATTCCCTGTATTACATTAAAAAACCTTAATCACCTTTGAGGATGAGGCCTGACGAGCAAGTTCGTGGTAGAAATCATCAAGAAGGGTAAGATGTTTGTTATATCCGTCAGAGTCCTTTATCATCAAGTCGATGAGACAAGGCAGTAGACCTAGAAACCTGGCTAGGTCACGTGATGCTGTTCGATCATTTTCACGAAGATCACAACCCTGAATACACATCTTCTCTATCTGTTGAGATGAAATTCATGACAAAAAAAATGAGAAGAAAAAAATAGAGATCTATCAATTTAAACGATAGGGAATAAATGATATACTTTTATCAATTTCACGATCGTTAGTGTATCAATTTTATTGCAGATTAAGATGGTATTGAATTTGGAAATAACAATGATGTCATATTTGTGCATGTCCATCGAATTGCGATTAATAGCAAGGGATTTTTTGGTAAAATGTGATGTCTCGATTAACATAAATATTACATTCTTAATTATTTAAACTGTAATTGAGCTTTTAGCTTGCAGTTCTAAAACAAGAAACATATTAAGGGGTGTGGCAGGAGCTGCAATTAATGCACATCCCGGTCATTAAGGGTCGATTAATAAAACCAAAAAATAGTCACATTATCGTTATAACACATTAAAATAACTTTTGTATATTAACTGTCATGTTTAAAATTGCCCCAATGAAATAGTTGTACAAAGTAATTGACAGTTTCATCTTTCAGTGTAACGGTGTAACAAATGTCTTCTTTTCCGTGTGTTAAATTAACACACCTTGTAAATCACCTTTGAGGATGAGGCCTGACGAGCAAGTTCATGGTAGAAATCATCAAGAAGGTAAAGATTCACGTATTGACCGTCAGAGTCCTTTATCGTCAGGTCGGTGAGACAAGGCAGCAAACATAAAAACCTGGCTAGGTCACGTGATGCTGTTGGATCATTCTCACGTAGATCACAACCCTCAATACACACTTTTCCTATCTGTTGAGATGCCATTCATGACCCAAATAAAAGAACAAACAAAATTAGAGATCTATCAATTTAAAAGATAGGGAATAAGTGATATACTGTTATCATTTTCACGATCGTAAGTGTATCAATTTCATTGTAGGTTAACATGCTATTGAATTAGGAAATAATAATGATGTAATAATTACTGCATGTCCATCGAATTATGATCAATAGCAAGCGCATTCTTTGTAAAATGTGATGTCTCGATTAACTTAAATATTACATTCTTAATTATTTAAACTGTAATTGAGCTTTTAGCTTGCAGTTCGAAAGCTAAAAACATATAAAGGGTTGTGGTAGAAGCTGCATTTACTGAACATCCAGGTCATAACGGGTCGATTAATAAAACCAAACAATCAGTCACATTATCGTTATAACACATTCAAATAACTTTTGTATATTAACTGTCATGTTTAAATTTGCCCCAATAAAATAGTGGTACAAAGTAATTGACAGTTTCATCTTTCATCTTTCAGTGCAACGGTGTAACAAATGTCTTCTTTTATGTGTGTTACATTAAAACACCTTGTAAATCACCTTTGAAGATGAGGACTTGTCAGCAAGTTCATGGTAGAAATCATCAGGAAGGTACGGATTCATTTCTTTTATCGTCAGGTCGGTAAGACAAGGCAGGAAACATAGAAACCTGGCTAGGTCACGTGATGCTGTTGGGTCATTTCCACGTAGATCAAAACTCTCAATACACACTTTCCCTATCTGTTGAGATGCCATTCATGTCCCAAATAAAAGAACAAACAAAATTAGAGATCTATCAATTCAAACGATAGGGAATAAATGTTATACTTTTATCAATTTCACGATCGTAAGTGTATCAATTTCATTGCAGATTAAGATGGTATTGAATTAGGAAATAACAATGATGTCATATTTTTGCATGTCTATCGAATTGCGATTAATAGCAAGGGATTTTTTTTTTAAATGTGATGTCTCGATTAACATAAATATTACATTCTTTATTATGTAAACTGTAATTGAGCTTTTAGCTTGCAGTTCTAAAGCTAGAAACATATAAAGGGATGTGGTAGGAGCTTTAATTACTGAACATCATCGTCATTACGGGTCTATTAATAAAACGAAATGGCCAGTCATATTATCGTACTCATACACATTTAAATTACTTTTCTATATTAACTGTCAGGTTAAAACTGGTCTCAGTTAAATAGTGGTACAACGTTATTGACAGTTTCACCATTCATCATTCAGTGCAACGGTTTCACCAATGTCTTCTTTTCCATGTATTACATTAAAACACCTTGTAAATCACCTTTAAGGATGAGGCCTGACGAGCCAGTTCATGGTAGAAATCATCACTAAAATATCCGCTTTGATCGTAAGAGTCCTTTATCGTCAGGTCAGTGAGACAAGGCAGGAGACACAAAAACCTGGCTAGGTCACGTGATGCTGTTGGGTCATTCCGACGTAGATCACAACCCTCAATACACACCTTTTCTATCTGTTGAGATGCCAGTCATGATAACAACAACAACAAATTGGACAACTGTCAATTTAAAACGATAGGAAATATATGTTTTTCTTATATCATTTTTATGATCATAAGTGTATTAATTACAATGTAGCTTTGACCGCTACAGAATTATAAAAAATAATAATGTAATATGCACTTCATGTCCTTCGAATTACGATTAATATCAAGGTACTTTCTGTTTAAGTGTAATCTCTCGATATAAAAAAATGTTACATTCTGAATATTGTAATTTATAGCTTTTAGCTTGTAGTTTTAAAGCAGAAACATATGAAGGTGTGTGGTAGAAGCTGTAATTACTGAACATTACGGTCATTAAGGGTCGATTTACTAAAACGAGACAATCAGTCACATTAAAGTAATAACGCTTTAAATAACGTTTCTATATTAACTGCCAACGTAATTGACAGTTTTATATTCATCATTCAATGCAACGGTTTCACCAATATCTTCTATTTCTTGTATTACAACACCTTGTAAATCACCTTTGAGGATGAGGCCTTGCCAGCAAGTTCGTGGTAGAAATCATCACCAAGATATAAGTATGGATCTTCACAGTTCAGTATCTTCAGGTCGGTGAGACAAGGCAGGAGACATAGAAACATGGCTAGGTCACGTGATGCTGTTGGGTCATTCTCACCTAGATAACAAACCTTAATACACACCTTCTCTATCTGTTGAGATGCCATTCATGACATCAACAAAAACAAATTTGAGAACTATCAATTTTAAACTATAGGGAATACACGTTGATATTTTATCATTTTCATGATAGCAAGTGTAGTAATTACATTGTAGCCTAAAGTCTTAAGACGCTATAGAAATAGAAAATAAAAATGATTTAATGAGTACTCCATTTCCATCAAATTGAGCTTATTATCGAGGTGATTCTACCAATTTACTCTACTGTTTGCCTTTCAAAGACGAGAAGAGATGTTCTGCAACAAGCATTTATTGCTTTCTTAGCTGTCAGGTAAAATAACCACCACCACTATCAAGTGTTATGAATCGATAAACATCAATTTACATTTGAATTTATTAGACTGTAAAGCCTTTAGCTTGAAGTTCTGAAGCAAGAAATGTTTAACGTCGATTAATAAAAACAAAGCAATCAGTCACATTAAAACAATAACCCATTCAAATGACTTTTCTTTACTAGATTTAACTGAAACGCTCTTTTAAACACACTAAAACTGTGGCTTAATATGCTAAATGTTGTCTTCATGGTGATGTGATTCCATGGAAAAGAAATTCATTTCGACAAAACGTGCATAATGAGAGTTTAAGTTTATCTCCGTGCAATGACTTAAACCACGCGTTCAATTTGCGGTCGATTTCTTTATAAATAAAAAACAACAACATCCATTTGGGTATTAGATATTGAACTGCGAAGATGTAAAACTGAAGCTCGGTGAATGATCAAAATAATAAACTCCCGCCCCCCCCCCCCCTACTCAGTGTTATTTAGGGTACGCATATGCTCGTTCCCTCTTTTTGAAAGCGCCCCCTATCTGAGGACTGCCAACATTTCCGAACCCCCCCCCCCTTTCGCGGGCTTTTCCTGCCTTGGAGACCCCCCTAAATCAGGAAAAAATGCTCAATATACCCCCCTAAATTTCTCAGGAGTCCAAAGAGATGAGAGAAAAAACGAAAAAACACACCCCTTTTTAAAGAAATCTCCGGGTGAAAAGTCAAATACACCCCTTTTTTTTAACAATTCTCGGGCCGGACTTTGTCGCACGAAAAATACCCCTTTACCGGACATTTTAGCAACACGCATGCGGTCATTCCGACCCCTGAGTAGGGGGGGGGGGGGGAATAAACTTCAATTCTAAAGGGCCTGGTTCGTTTGGAGTGGGGGTATCTGGACCTTGATATAGGGGAGGGGGGCATCCGAACCGACGACCGTCAATTCAGTCAGAAAGCTACCTCTTTGGGGTTCCTTTGTCGTCGGCTTGAAGGGAAGCGCCGACATCCAATAATATCTTTCCGATTTGCTAAAATGTTGACTAATGTATTATTCATGCATTGTACCAGGCGCGTACGCAGGGAGGGTTTTGGGGTTTTAACCGCACCTCAATTTTTTTTGTGCGTTTTGCAAGAACACCCCCCCCCCCCCTATTTTTTTATTTTTTTTAATTGTGCTAATGGGTGACCAAATACAGGTGACCATACCCCTCCCCCCCCCCCCTCCTTCCCTGCTTCCCTGACAGAACAAAATATCGATGGGGCAAATTTTCAAATTTCGGGACAAAAACATATATATATATATATATGTCCTCCATTCCCCCCCCCCCGCCGCTTATCTGCTTATTTTCGACGCGATTTTAAAATTGTAACCCCCCCCCCCCTTCGAAAAAATTCTGCGTACGCGACTGTATTGTACAACATGTATATCACTTCGTTTATTACCAGGTAAAACTAAAAGGTTAGCAAAGCGAACGAGCAAATTATTGACACTTCATTTTGTTTCAATGTTCAGTTTGCGGGCTGCTTTCTTTACAGTTTAATTTATTGATTTCAGCTAATGAACTTAATTTCGGCCTTTGGCATCATTTAGTTTAGAGATACGTGCCCCAATTTTCCCTCCACTGCATTTCTATATTAATTTTATTTGTTATAGAAAACATGCTTAATACAACATCAAGGTCGTAATTACTTAATATAAAAAACTTCTAAAATAATATCTTTTATTTATTAAGTTTTAAAAACAAATCTTACTTGCTTATAAATCTTATAAAGTGCCACCTTCAAATAAGCTCATAGTTCAATGCTCTAGACAAATTGTAATTTCTCTGAGGGCAGTAAACGGTATTGTAGGCAAAAATGTAATAGGTTTATAGAATTATTAAATATGTGTATATTTTCAAACAAATTTATTTCATTTAAAATAATTTCACACTTTAGAAAATTGTATACATTAATTCCATTATCTATATTCCAGATATAGTTTTGTTCATTTGGTAAATATTTTTGTACCATACGGGTTTTTTGCCATGGCAGCATTGTGTTATCATATAGGTTCACAACTTTCAAACAAATCAATGGTATTAGAATTGAAATGCTTAAACGATCATATCTTAAAACACAAAAACAATGCACATGCTATAGGTCATATGGGATACTTCTCATTCACATTTTGCGAAATTTCGAGGAACATTAATTTCAATAACTCGATTAGAATATTTTGCGGCCAAAACACTGACACAATTATAATTACCTTCGAGTCTATTTTTCTTTGGTTTTCCTCTGAAAACCAAGCATCGGAGAAAATTATTCCATCCCACAGAATCAACTCCCGGATGGATGTCCGATTGCATAGAGCATCTGCTAAGCGTGATGACATTTTAAAGCAGTGGAGACGCTTCTGGCCCTGTCACAATTAAATATGATTAGTTTAAGCAACAAAGTTAATACCCCAGTCACACTGAGACTGCACAAGTTGACAACAGACTATTCAAACAATGTCATTACCCCCAATGGCGAAAAGTCAGTCAGTTTGAAGTCGGTGTATAGTCATTTTTGCGGTGTCAATGATGTATAAATGATTCCGGATTAAAATTAAAGAGGTATGCTCGTATTTGTGAAATTTTGATCGCAGGACCCATAATGAAAATAGGTCTTGTTAAATTTTTGCTCAATGACAACATTTTGAAAATATTTGGTTGTAGAAAAAGGTAAAACATTTGTAACAGAGACTCAATTTCTCGTAAATTTTAATCAAATGCAATTGTGCTGCATTAGGATTTAGAGGAGGTAACCTCCACCTATCATATCGGACCTCCATATTATTGAGCGATTGCTGACTATTATTACTTTGCGGTTAATATCAATAATATCTAGCTCTAAAGGTCTTTGCGTGTTTCGTATGGATATTTTTGTTTCACTGGGAGAGTTTCTGTTATTGCTCATGTTTCACTTCGAAACGATATAAGCCCCAAGGTAAAATTACTAGGCTTAATCTATGTAAATTGGATTTTTATTATAGCTGCATCAGGTCTGCCATTCTTGGTGTGTTCATATTGTATCGATGCCTCAAAAAAATCCATTTACCTGGTCATGTTGAATATTAACCTTCATCCTGTTTTCCATGTTGATAGCTGACGCAAAGGGGTCGAGCTCCTCATCAGTGTAACAGTTAATGACACTGAACAGATACGATAAAGAAAAAATAATTGAACAAATATGTATGTATTATTATCGTTTGCCATAAGCTTCAAACTATGAT